AATAGTAGATTGTAGATTTTATGATATGGAAACCAGAAGAAATCTCTGCATCCTAGATGAAAAAATACATATTTAAGAGGATGGCAGGGTCTTCTAGTCAGTAATATTTGACCCTACATGGCAACAACAACAGAAAAGCACTCAAAGACTGCAGTTGGGCTGACAGGGGTGTGGTACAGGTGCAGTCATGAGAAACATCAGAGGATGTTTCTCTTGTTGTGTGTATAATACAAGCTAAAGGGACACTTCACTGGATTTGCTCTTTTTAAACACACCTGTGGCACTGTGAGGAGCTTATTTAGAAGGTTACTGGAGTCACAGAGCCTATCAAACACGTGTGGTGTGGATTTGCCCAAGCCAGGATCCTTCCAGAGCATTTCTGCAACAACCAAGTCTGACCAGCCCATGCAAGAGCTGATGATGTGGGAGAATGTGGCAGGGCAGGAGGGAAGCTGTGTACTGGATACCCATTCTGGGTGAGGATGAGACCACAGGATCTCACCACACCTGCTGCAAAGCACAGCTTTGCCCTTTGCTTGACATCAGCAAGGCTGGCTGTTTCTTACAACAAATACCATGAAAACTGAACCACTTGGATCTAACAAAATTGTCTGACAAATCTAACCCAGCCTTTAACCCACTGTTGGGATCAGACATTGGGATTAATCTTTTTCCTCACAAGCACTTGTTTTCATATTAATGGCTGAAATGGCAAAGCTGGTCATTTCTTCAGGAATATAACATAGGGCTGTAATTTAAAATAGTGTATTTGCAAGCTTCTCAAATATAGAAAAATCAATGAAGAAAAATTATTCCTGCAGAGATACAATGACATGTTCACTCAGAAATGAATTTCTGAATAAAACTAACCTCTTAAAGCAGGAATGGAAACTGAAAATCATGAAGCAGCTCCCGTTTTAAAGGAACTACTGAAAATATCTTTTACTCATTTTTAAGACTTCTTACTGTAGAGATTAGGCATAGGCCTTTGGGGTTTCCAACAGTGTTACAACAACATGCAAAATTACTGTGAGGATAGAGGTATTTCTCATCGAGAAGCCCTCTCTGGACATGTAAAGAACAGTTTTTGAGGAGTACTTAGTTCCATGTGTGCTGAAGTGTGCTACATAGCATAAGAGCTGGGGCATTGACAGGTGGCAGGACAGGAAACACCAGCTTGGTGTCTCTAGATGAGGAGACCTGTTGGGTCACACCGTTAGTGCTGTCTGTGTTTGGTGAAGCCAAACTTAGCTGTAAAGGTTGCTGCTTGTTGCTATCCATGTATGCCAGGTTCCCTGTGCCATTGATCACAGCTGCCCCCTGCTTTTTCTGTGACTCCAGGTGAAGAGGGGCTGCAGACCCAGGGTGGTGTTAGTGGGGTGTCCTCAGCTCTGGCTGCTGCCCAGCAGCCCAGGCTATGCAGAGATACATCATGACAATCAGGGAGAGCCTTTCTGTGATATCCCAGATGAAGTGCAGTTTATTGAGCAATCCTTTGGAGGCTTCAGATGCAAAGAGACAGCAAAAGAAGCACTACAGCAAAGGAAGAAGTAGGACTCTCATATGGCCTGAGCAGAAAACGCTTTGCCAGAGGCAAAGCATTTAGGAGCAGAGCAGTAACAGCCAGAGCAGCAGCAGGAAGGGAGTGTGTGACAGGTTGGGTGGGGGCTTTCCCGTGTATTACTTGCCCAGATACTAATCTTTCTTTCCCCCGGCCCATTACCTGTCCCCATGTGGTCCCATGGCAGGAGAAAAAGGGACAATGTGCCTCATGAGGAATGGTAGCCTCCCTTACCTTTCTGCTGCAATATTGCCTATTTGTGTCTAATTCACCACCCCCTCTCACCAGAAGATGCTTTTCTGTCACTGCTGCTACCTGTTTCTCTAGCCACCAGTGGTCCTTTTTCACTTTACTCCTGCCTCAGACACATTCATTTTGCATACTTTTCAGATGGCATCTCCTTTAGCTCCCTGCCATGCTTCTGTTCTTGCTGCGTGCCTTTGTATCATCATTCCTTTTTCCTGGCAGGTGTTTGTAGCTTGTCCTAGTTTAATAAGTTTCATCTTCTGCATTCTGATACAGCTGTTTGGAAAAAGGGGGGGGACCTTGACAGAAAGCCCCTGGCACATAGCTCCCAGTGCTGGAACAGCATCCAGGGAGCTGGAGCAGGATTTGTCCTGAACAAACCACATGGGGAATCTCCAACATAAATATGTCCTTTGCACTTATTTCTTACTTATCAGCAACTGCTGAGCCCAGGCTCAAGATAAAGTCATGCAAATTATTTGTGACAGACACCTACTCGTTTATTGAGGATAAGGCAGAGAAATAATTGGATAGAGTAATTTTATGTCACCTTAAACAGTGAAAAATCTGTGGGCAAAAATATTTATGTTAGCACAGCTGGAATAAAATGTTCCATTTTTAACAACCCAGCCAAGTAGTTTTTCTATTATTCTTTAAAAATAGATATTTTGGCAAAAATGTAATTTTCCAAAGAAAACTTTCCAAGTTTTTTTTGTAAAAATTATACATTAGATTATACTTTAAGGAAGTATACTTTTTTCCTTCTGAACCTTTAACTGAAGCTGCTCACAGATGTCTATTGTATTAAAGCTGCATCTTTTGGCACTGAAACAAATGCAGCCATTGTGTTGGTGCTTTCCATAAGGAACAGAAGGTGAACTAAAACCATGCAAAGAAGCCCAGTCCAATTTCCTGAAGGCAACCGGAGATCCTACACACGTTTATAGCAACCTACTGTGATTTTCAGACTTACAGTGGGTAATCAGCTCCCATTGATATAAAACAAAGAAAACAGAAGTGAAAAATAGCTCATCATCCTGGTCCTGCCTCATTGTCACCTGCATGGTGATTACCATGATTACAGTGATGCACCTACCTGGCCTTGGAAGTGAATACACAGGAGGTTGATGTTGTTTTTACCTCCAAGCACAGTGCTAGGAGGAGCTATGGCAACAGCTGTCATCAGGAAAGTGCCCCTGGCCAGCTCCCAGACTGGGGCAGCATCTTGGCTGGATTTAGCCACCTCGTTTACAGGTGAGTGATCTAGGAGCTTTGTGGAGCTGTGGTGTGAGTGTGGGGCTGTGGCTGCAGGTGGGTCCCATTGGCACGTCAAACTGACTGGCATCACATAGATCACTTAGTGTAAAGCAACTTGAGGGCTGCTCTAGGTTATGCCAAAGACATAGGCAAGAGCGAGCCCACTTTTCTTGAAGAAAAAAAAAGGGTGTTTTCAGGCTGCTTTTGCACCCTGCATTTGGGGCATGTAATACTCCACTGTAGCCACAGAGTGGGGCCGTTTTCTTTGGGAGCCTACAAAGGGCAGTGGATGTGAAAAGGTCATTCAGCTGGGGAAGCAGCTGAGCTGTGATTCACTGTGTTTCCTTAGACAAGCATAACAGATGCAGTGAAAACAGTCTTATCAAGAAAAATGGGAGGTATACGGACCTCATAAATAACCTTTCCCACACAGATGTCATTCCTAGTGCTCTCACAAAAAAAAAAAAAAAAAAAAAAAGGACTCTGAAGGAAAAAGGCTCAAGTACAGCAGAGCATGATGCTCCATGGGGATTCAGCCTTGCCAGAGTACCATGGAGTTAGACAGTGAGAACAGGGCAAACAAGTTGCACAGATGAGGAATAAGAATTGTTCCCAAGTTAAAAGATATTTGTAGGAAATCCAGACAAGACTTTCAGCTTACAGAGAGAAACCTTTCAGGTGAGCTGGCAGACAGAGAAGGACTGAACGGTGAAAATAATTCCAGTACAATGAACTCTCAGCAGATGAAGAGTTGCTAAGTGGCACTAAGAGCATGACGTTTCAGGATGGGAATAATTTGGTAATGTTGAGGACAGACGAATATGATGGGTTAGTTTGACAAGTAGGGTCAAGGTGGCCAGCAGTGCAAGTGTCTTACATATAAAGCCTACTACAGCCTTCACCATGTACTCTTTGATTAAATATGCTTAAATGGACCATATTTGTTGAACTTTCCTCACCCATGCTTTATTCATATTTTTCTTCCTATAGATTTCCAAGTATACTTTGCAACTACCTGATGCCATGCAGTCTTGGAGTCATATATTACCAAAGCTAATGGCACTGTTGAGAGTCAGAGGGCTTAGTAAAAACTAAAAAGGGCTCAGGGCAAGAGCTGACTGTTAAATGTTGAAATTGTAAAAGAAACCCACACAACAAAAAGGCAGTGGAAAAGCTGGAAAAATGTGTGGCTGCAGGCAGAAGGGGGAGCAGAGCAGCTCTTTAGCAACAAATTATTGAACAAATCACCTCCTAGTAAAGATACTGCTTACTAAGCTCCAGGGATGAGAAAACATATCAGGAGGAAGCAGCAAGCCAAAAGCTGCTGAGTTTTTGCTCTGATGTGATCCACAGGATCAGCTGCAGGGAAGCCAACACATGCAGATGCCACAGCCCTTCTGGGCAGCCTGTGCCAGTGTTTGACTATCCTCATAGTAAAATATTTTCTTGTGATCAGGTGGAATTTCCCGTGTTTCAGTTTGGGCCCATTGACTCTTGTCCTGTCATTGGGCATCACCAGGAAGACCCTGGCTCCCTCTTCTTCCTCTTTCTCATGAGGTATTTATACATATTGATGAGATCCTTCTGAGCCTTCTCTAGACTAAACAGTCCCAGGTCTCTCAGCCTCTCCTCACATGAGAGTTGCTCCATCCCTTAATCATCTTAATACCCAAGCACTGGACTCACTGCAGTATCTCCACATCTCTCTTCTACTGGGGAACCCAGGAATGGACATAGGAAAAAAAAATCCTGCAACTCTAGTTAATAGAATAGAATATTTTCTGTTGGAAGGGACCTACAGTGACCATCTAGTCCAACTGCCTGACCACTCCAGGGTTTACCAAAAGTTAAGAGCATGTTAAGGGCATTGTCTAAGTGCCTCTGACAGGCTTGGGGTATCAACCACCTCTCTAGGAATCCTGTTCCAGTGTTGTCAAGTTAACTCAGTCTCAGGTTGTCAGATTGGTTTGTTTTTTCTTTCCTCTTTTTTTTTCTTGAAGAACTGGTACTTAGCAATCCTCAAAAATGCCATGGTGCTTTTCTCCTGTGGCTTCTCCTGATGCTATTTTGTTGGATCCTACTTGTTTCTGCTCAGATCTGTCCTGAAGAGAACAGGTGCAACTCAGCTGAAATCAGGACGACTATACAATCCCATATGTCACTGCAGAGTGGGGAAAAAATTAATAGCGTCTAGTAAACTACAAAGCAAAATCAAATGTGTGGTTTCAGTTATTGTTGCTACTTTTTGCAGTCTGAAAAATACTTTTTGCTCTTGTGAAGTTTGACAACAGCCAGTTGAACAAAGTCCATGGGGTTTTAACAGTCTGTATTTTAATATTAAATGTCTCCATATCTGCAAGTATAAACACATTGCTGGGAACAAATACCCATCTCAACCTCTGGTCTCATCTCTGGTTTTGATTAAATTTCTGCATTTGCAGCAGAGGAAGCAACTAATTTACAACTTTGCCAGTAAGAGAAGATAGCTGAACAGTTGCCCTGTCTTGATTTACAGTTCATTTATTTTTATCTGCCAGTCAACACACAAATACATTCTGTTACAGGTTTAGGATTTGGAAGAGCTTTCAGAAAGGAAATAATATTTCATGACCCCTCTTAAATAGTTACCTCTTTTCTCACAGCAATTACAGTGAAAAGTGACATACAAGAAATTTTTGTCTAGATGAATAAAATATTCCAAGCAATAAATATATTCATCAAACCAGTTTGACTCAGGGAACCTGAAGGCTTAAATTCTTTATTAGTCAGCAAGTTCTTTGACTTTGTAAGGAGCTAATCACCACAGTAAGTCATTATCACTTACCATACTCTATACTCACTTTAAAAAATTGAAAACACCGACTCCAGAATCATCTGTGTTGTTTTGCTGAGAAGCTGCATTTATAATGATTATATTTACACTGGGCTTTCCAAATTTCTCTTTTAAAGCCTGTGTAATAAATGACAGTCTGTCTTGTTGACGAACACAATGACAGGTTTGCAGGAGGCATAAATCTGGTTGGGAGGTCTTCTGCAGCTCTGTAACCTCTAAGCCTGCTGGGTAGTAGGCTTGCCATGCAAGGAGAGGGCAGCTGCCCTGTGTTCCTGTTGAGACCAATCCATCTCCCAGAGCTGTTATGCCTGCTGTTATGTCAGCAACAGGAACAGCAGTGACATCACTTCCTCGGGTCTCTGCAGTAGCTTGGACCCTGCTATGAGAGCAAAAGTTGCATGGGCTTGAGTGGCAGGATGGGGCTGTGCTTGCACAGTGCAGTAAGGAAAACAAGGCATCACACTGCAGTATGTGGCTGCAGTCCTAGCAGGTCACACTTGGCATTCCGAATCACTACTTTGAATGTTTGGCTTGATTTAAAGCCCAGCTGACCAAAGGATCCTGTTCATAAAGCTTCCAGTTATTTTACTGCAGAAATTGAGTGATGTGTTACATTTTGGGCTGGGGGAATCATAACCCAAACTATGACATGGCAAAAAGGAATGAGACTGATGAAACATCAGCCATTTCTCTCCCTCTCATCTCTGGCCTTTCCTTATGCTGATGGAGAAAATGGGCAGGGCCACTGCCATTTTCCTGCCCATCCCTTCCTACCCTCTGCAGGTACAGCTCTGAGGGTCAGGGCACAGGTCTGCCTGGCCATAACGCAGATCCTCAAGTCCCCGCTCCACCCCAGTGTGCATTTGTGAAATCACAGGACAAAACCTGGCCCAGAAAGTCTTCACCAGTACAAGTAATTTCTGTCCCTGCTAGCCCTGCTCACATGAGTACAAATATCTTGTGCCTAAAGGACAGTTTAGGAGCTATTCCCTTGCAAACTATATTTGTTGATTGCAGGTCTTTTAAAAGAAATCACTAGTTTGTCCTGGTATCCAGTAAGAATAAGCTACAGTATTAGTGAAGAATGCAAAGGAGTTGAGTGGTATTTATGATTCAGCAGCAAAAGCTGCCCCCTGGAGGAACAAGTCATTAAGCAAATGAGCTGCAACAGGTCTAAAAATACCTCCACACATTCGATAGTATTGTTATTAAAGTTGCTTTACTAAGTTAACCAGAGACTCAAAAACTGAAATACAGACTTTATACAGAACGAGTTGGGAGTACAAATAAACACAGGCAATGTTCTTCAAGAAATGGATTTTAGTTGTGTTTTATAAACATCAAAAAAGAATGAAAATTAAAAAAAAAAAGAAACAATACCAACAGCTTCAAATTTTCATAATATTTATAATTTAAGCAGATTTTTTTTTATACTTTTGCAATAGGGATTTCATTCAGAAGTCCTTATATAATTAAAAAATTAGAAAGAAAATTAGTCAGCATATTACTGACACAAAACCAAGGAAGGAGTCACAACTAGGGCAGAAAAATGACACATCAAGTTAAAACTGTATTACAATTTGGCAGGAATGCTCTTAATGAATACCATATATGTGTGAGAAAGAGACAGCATCACTATTACAGGCAAGAAATGATGATCAAGTATCATTATCCATAGTCCAAAATGAAAATTAGTTAAAGAGGAAATGAAGACTAGAAAAGGAAAGGGGAAAAAAATAAGGAAACTTAAAAAACGTCCTCTTCCTAATAGTCTTCTGAGGTGAATGTTGCATGCATTACCTCCCCAAGAAACTAGACAGAGCTCTTCCATTCCCCTTTCATTTAGTTTCATGAAGAAAGGTTTGAGAGAGCAGAGCGCTGGGAAGAAATACTACAAACCTCTAAATTAGTGAACGAACTTCCAGCATCACTATTGTATTCTGGGTAGGAGGAACTGGAAGAAATTATGTTTTTCAGCCTCTGAAGTGCAATGATCAATAGCAAAAGGAGAAAAGCTAAGAGGCTAAGGAATATAGAAACATAGACATAAACATTGGATAAACGGCCAGGTGATGAATCCACTGAAGTTGAAAGAGATGTGGGATACAGCTCCAGAAAAGTCCCATTTTCCATGTTTCCTGCAAATCCAGATGAAGGGTCAGGTTCTGACATTACTGGATTTGTGTTTTAAAAATCACAACAGATCTTGTATTCAAAGGTTTTAGTAGAATAAAAAGGGTTTATATTAAGCGAGCATTTTTCCATCACAACGGTGAGATGACGAGTCAGACAGTGAACAAATTTATCCTTTACTGCTCAAGCCAGGACAATTTAAGATCATATCCTTTGGAACTGCAAATAAAAAAAAGAGGCAAGATTAATTTACTAGCAGATAATGTGCACCTGATACAATTTAGCTCTTAAGAGTTACAAGTTATTATTCCTTAGCACAAAGCTGCAATTCTTAAAAAATTAGCTAGGAACTATCTGCATATCTCAATTTTCCAAAATGCAGGGATTAGGAGAAATCCTACTGAATCCTAATGAATTAAAATTGACTTCTCCACCATGAGTTGTTTAACTGAAAGGCACAATCAAAAATGTGCTTTATATGGGACAGAGATATTGGAATCCAAATCTATCTAGTGGAAAAAATCTAGTCAAGGAATGAAACCCCTTCTCAAGACTTCAGCTCCTCAACCTAGATGAGCAAGGCCACCCAACATCACAATGGATGATGAATCCGTTAGCCACTTACTCCATAGTGTCTTGCTAGAGGTACCCAGAATGAGAAAATCTGCCAGACTTGCTTTCTTACTATGTATTTTTAAAATGGTTTGAATGGTTTCAAGTATCAAAATGCATCTTGCTGTAATTCTGCCATGGCAGATCTCAATGGCAGGTAGGTTTCAGTGAAGTGATGCAGCTTCTGACACCTACAATCAAAATCCTAAGGGAATGGGCGGCCCTGTCAGCTTAGCAAGCACAAGGTGACTATCTAAGGGCAGCAAACACTAACTGGGAAGAGATCCCACCTTTGAAAAAGCTTTGCCTCCAGCCATTTGTCAGAACCTGGAAGCTCCAGTGCTGGCAAAGGTCAGAGCAGCACAGGATAAGCAGATCAGGGAATGCTAGGATGCTTTCCTTTAAACGAACATAATCAGTCCCCTGGTGCAGGCTGGAAGCATAAGAGAAGACTTGGTGATGGGGAATTGCTTGTAAAAAGCTGACATGCTGTAGCTGAATTACATGGCATAACCCTTGCTTTTGTTTTGGTACAAAAGAGATAATGCAAGTTGCACACAAGGTAGGAAATTAAGATCATTCTCTGCATATAATCACTCACATGCAATCTTGCCATCCATCCATTCATGGTCAGCCTCTCACTGCAGATACCAAGGCACCACAAGGAAAGTCAGCAAGCTTTCCTCCCACAAGGAAAACAATATCCATACAGAACTACCTTCCCAGTGTGATTCCTCTCATCCTGACCATGGTTTCAGCCATGTCCTGTGGTCCCAGTTCAATACAATTATCTCTGACTCACATTTAGAAGCTTTGAGGAGAATTCCACTGATTTTCATAGTGATAGAGAGCACAAACACCATCAGCATCAGTCAGAGAGACAGAAGCAGACCTTGAAGTGATGATGTGACAGCCTGCAGTCTTTCCTTCTCTGTGTCACAAAACCGCCCAAGTATCTATCTGAGTTTCCATGGGAGTGTCCCACTACTGTTCCCAGCAACGACCTGCCTTACAATTTTTCCTTTAAATATGCAACTTTTTCTAACTTTCTTCAAGTACCTCCTTCTTCAAGAGGCTGACACTTTTTGAAATTAGGTGTGACCTCAAAAGCCCCAACCTGAACTAAGGATGCTTTAAAAGTATAAGGTATTTAAAATTCCTAGACGTTTGCTTTCCAGACACTGAAGTTATTTGCATAGTTACCTACTGTACTTTGGCACTGTAAATTAAATTTAGGTTATGCTATATGCCATTAAAAGCCCTAAGTGCCTGAGTAAACAAGTACTACATTAAGTGGTAAGTAGAATTTAATTGTACATTTTTAGCCAAGATGGCTAAACTCCCTTTTATCTGCATGGACAGGATGGCCAGATCACAACTGCCTTTGGGAATGAAAGATAGCCACTCCTAACCCCAAATATGCCCAGGCATTGCTTGAAGGGTGCTAGCTGGCCAAAACCATGCCAGGAGGTCAGTTTGCTAATTCAACAGGAGCCTATGTCCTGGCCTGGATTAATTTACTACTACACACACATCCATAATGCTTTTATGGACAAAAGGCTACATTCCAGATGTTATTTTATTGTTTATTGCTTTTATTGTTTTATAGTGGAGCTTTTGATAGTCTTAACCAAGCATCCCAATAGCCTACAAGAGATGCAGGAGTACAGAACTGCACCTACATATACCAGAAAAAAATATTCTTACCCTTGTGGTATATAACTCATACTGATGCATAAAATATGCTAAACCAAAACAATTTTATAACCTTAATAGTATTAAGCTCCACAGGAAACGGTATTTGTTGTACCTCGTGAAATAACTCATAACAGACTGAACAAAGAGAGATCCTTATGAGATTATACTCCTTTTGAACTGTCTTTAATTTAGTGATCCAAAATTAACTAATGGAACAATATGTGTTCATTTCATGTTCTGGAAGTAGTTAAGTGTGTTATAGCTAATTTATCCTTTTTAAAAAATAAGCTTTGATATAGGAGATATTTATCCTTAATTACTCGTCATAATGAAAAGCAGATCCATTATTAATTGAATTGCTCTATAATAACTTAAGGAATTAATTCACATGAATTCTTTAACATGGCAGAAGTTAAAAGTCTTTAAATTTTTCACAAATTTTAAACCTACTACATTCTAATTTTATCATTAACACTTTTGGCCCTGCTACAAGGAAGAACTTTGGCATGGTACTTTTTTTGAAGTTAGTGAAAAACCTATGGTCTTAAACTGGACTAATCAGAACTTCAGTTAAGCAGAGATGTGAGTGCTTTGATAAATCAGAGCTTTTATAGGTCTTACACCATCACCCAGGCTACTTTTAACTGAGTATTTTGTAATGAGGTCAGAGACACTGTAAAAATTCTGATTCCAAATGATTATGGCCTAGATTCCAGTTGTCTCACTAACACTGTGTAGTGACGCGATGTGTAAATGTATCTTTGGCTAAAGTGGATAGTATTTTAGGAAGAAAAAAAAAATCTGCGTTGTTTTAAACACAGAGATAAAAATGCGGACCTAAAGTCTAAGGTCCTACTCAGTCTAAAAGGATTTTTACCAACCATCTGCACCCTTTTGGAGTAAAATGGCAGAATCATACAGATGTGAACATATCTGGTCCTGACAATTCAGTAGTTTTCATAGGAAAGGTACAAAATGCATAAGAAATAAAACAGATCTGATCCTGCTCCCTGATGATGATTCCTGGTGCTGTTCCAGCATGGTGATCCTGCCAGAGAGCAGCCAGGACGGCTCAGCCGGCAATGTGTGGCAGGGGTGCAAACACCATTCTGAACCTCGTGCAACTCCATGGTTCTAGGGCTGCACAAACCTCTGCCATGCTGCAAATTAGACCTCACAGCCTTTGAGAGCCTAGTTTTATTCAGTGCACCACATCTACCACTTCGGCTGAGGTTTCTACTTCTGCTGGGAGAAGATAGCAAGTGGCATGAACCATTTGTCTCTCTTACCCCAATTCTCCCAAAGGAATAATCCCCATAAAGCCAGATGTCAGCTTCACCTTCCTGTTTGGTAATTGGTTTTTTTGCACTTCTGAAAGTGAAACAGAACAACACCATAACATCTAGCACAAACCTAGTCCCAAAAAATGACTGGGAATTTTGTCACTGACTTCAAAGCGTGGCAAAAATAGCTAACTGCAATAAACCCATTGTCTTTGTGAGAGTCATAAACTGATCAAGGAATTTAACAAAGGAGCCAAAGTTTTCAAATTCTGTAGTGGTCCCTGCCTTCCCTTCATCTATTGTTGGAAAGCTGAGTTGGTTTAAGGCAAAGAATTAATTGAAAGTGTTGTTCCTGAATGACTGCAGATGGAGAAGAATTCTGACTCTATTTGACAGGAGAAGGCTTTCCAGCTAACTCCTGAAAACTCCTGGGACAGGAGAACTGGGACCTGCCTGCTGGGGAACTCAGATTTTGTGGTGTAGCTGGATCTGGATTACTTTGTCAGAGGCACTTCTGCAGTGCCAGGGTAGGGTTCTGTGACTTGAGGAGTCGTCCTGAGTCATTGAGTCCTGCCCCACTGCCAAAAGGCCCAAGTGCCTTTCTGACACTGGCTAATTTTTCCTGTTGCTATTACTCCATTGTTACAGCAGACTTGCTGCTCCAATGGACAAACTGCTTAGAAGATTCACACATTTCAGTAAAACAACTCACTGTTCCAAGAAGGCAAAGACTCTACCTCCAAGCTCTGCTGGTTTTAGATGTACAAGAGAGCAAAACCTTGTTCTGTTTACTTTAGTCCCCAAATATGAGGGTTGGCACACAAGGAGAGGCTCTCCTAGACACATGGTGTCATTTGTACATCCTGGCTTTTCAACCAAAACCACTATTTAAGTATTTTCTTCAATGTGTGCATTGTTTCTCCATTCATGTCTTCGGTATAAATCACCTTCCACAGGTGAGAACAACCACTCATATCCCAAGGGTAGGCCTACCTGGCAGATACTATAGGCAGGCTCAGTTGGAGTTTTTAATATTTTCTTTAATCCTGTGGTAAGTGGGAGATAGGCAAAGAGGCATTCAATAGAAGGAGGGCAAACTGGGTAGGTGATGGATCAAGCAAGGCATCACTATGTAAAAGGTCAGTACCAGGTACCGCGTAGTACCATGCCCAGGTAGCCATGCCAGAGCTATCCACTGTTTGCATATTTGGTCATAAAAACTATTTTGTCAGACAATGCAAATGTGGTCAGGAGCAGAGGCCTCACAATTAGCATATGCCCTGAGTACCAAATTATAGGTAACATATGTAATTTAATCTTTAGGATTGCTGAGACAGTAGTCATCTCCTTGTTCAAACTAAGGTGAATGTTAAATGAGAATGCAACACTACACAGGATGGCATGCAGCAAACTGAACTTTTTCATAGTCCCAATGTCATAAATGCTTTACCATCCAGCCATCTGTATTGCATGCCTCCACACACCTTGATGGAACAACTCTATTTCTCCAGGCTCAGTGAAATATTATTTAATGGAGCATACTCACAACCACTGAAACTCTAAAAACTGAGGAACAGGAAGCAAAGATAAGTCTGGTAGATTGAATTTCTTGGGAGTTTATTGGCCATAGAAAAGGACTTTGTTTTCTTGGTTCTTCCTGTGCTTTTGTGACTACAAGCTGAGAAATACCTTGGCTGTTTCAGAGGCTTCAAAATGTTTAAGCAGAGAGACAGATTGACATCAAAGAAAACCAGCATTTTTATGCAAAATAAACTAATATTTTTGTCACAATCTCCCATGAACTCTTTCTTTACAGGTAGAAGGTATTCTAGAAAGCCCTTATTGTAAACAATTTCTAACATGAGAGCTTAATTTGCCTTTAGCATAGTTACAAGAGTGAGGTCCCTCATTCGGCTAAACTTCAATATGCTGTTAATTGTACCTGCCTTCCTTTAAAATCCTCTTGGCTGATTTCAGCCCAATGTATACAGAAAGGCAGAGGATGAGTGCAACAAAAGGGATAGATTTAATCTTCAAAAGAGAGGGCTCTGTGAAGCGGGACAGGGAGTTCCTCACTGACCCATGCAGGACAGCTGAAGAAGCTTGCCCACATCAGATGTCTCTGGATCCTTGCAAAGGGAGCCTCTGACCACCAAACTTCATTATTTTGTACACACTGCCATCCTGTGAATCTAATTCCCATGCTAGCACATGTGTGTCTCAGATGACATGGAGATAAAGGTCAAAGCAGCACATCACACTAGTGGAATAATGCATCCACTATGGATGACTTGGGACCATGCCCGTGATGGGGAGGATCTGGTGGTTAGCAGATCCTAGATGGCACTGGAAATCTGGCTAGAAAATGGCTAGGAAAGGGAGATGAGTTGCAAGATGGTAGTCTGGGCCTGTGCAAAAATTGCTTCCTCTGTATGAGGCAAATAGCTCTTTGTTTTGGGTAGGAGAGGGGAGGCAGAGGACATTTATTAAAGGTGACACTATTAAAGAACTCTCAAGTGTGTTCTCTGCTCCATTTTGCCCTTTTGTAAAGTTAATGCCAGGAGTGAGCAGATAATGATATCATTCTCTCATGAGCTGAAACCAGAACCACCTCTCCTTTGTTCAGCATCAGGGTAGGAAGAGTAGGAGGTTCCCAGGTGATATGATGATGCCAGATACAGGATGAGACCTCCTCATCTCTAAAGGTGTGTCGCCCTTCCCCAAGTTCTGTTATCATAGTGATTGCTTCCAAAAGCTGGCAGCAAGAGTTCACTAGATCAATACATGTATGAAGGCCAGTGAGCTTCTGGTTTCATCTTCCCCCTCACCGCCTTTGTTTTCTACATTTATTTCCTTTAGCACATAGGACTATATTACCAATATTGTCTTTCCAGCTAACTGGTAACACAAAGTATTTAATGCCAATAAAAATATGCTTGCACGCTCATATTGAAGGGCTGAATGAACTTCAAGTACTGTGAACACTTCAGCCTTGAAAACCAATTTGCTCTAGACTGGAAAAATATAGCAATTTAAAATCATGCGACTAAATAAGATGGTAGCTCTAGACAGAAAAAAGAAGTAAGTAACATCTTATTCCATTGAAAATGTAGGTAGGAAAGGCAAAGAATGAGTGCTCACTTGGAGTTTACCAAGAATATGCACCTTAATACTTCTTATTCTTGCATAAATGCCTTTGGCAATTAAAAGACCTGAAGTAATTAGGATACTTCTTTTTTCCATTACAGTTGGACCCTTCAGAAGCAGAAAATCTCTTTACCACTCTGCCTGGCAAACAGGATCAGTGGGCAACTGACTCAATAAAATAGAGCACAGCAGGAAAAGAAAAAAACTATTTCCTGCCACAAGCAAAGTTTTCCTTTTAATTTATGATCTAATTTCATTTTTTTATTATGATTTAATATGATTTAAATTTATGTCTTTGAAAATCTAAGAGGACAAGTGCCCAGATGGCTTGGCTGCGGGTTAAAATCAAGTTATATTTTGTTTGGGGTTTCATGTGGGGATGGGAAAAGGAAACTTTCAGAGCCATAAGGATACTTAGATTAATTCAGATAGGCTCAAATGATTCAATAATTCACATTTCCCATGGATCTCCAGACTATAGAGTAATTTATATTAATGTAAAGCAAAGACATCATGACCTCAGATCAGACCCAGAACCTGTCAATTGAATCTGGTCTTTAACAGAAAAACAAGCAAGGAGAAAGAATAAAATACTTACAAGCAGGAAGAAGATATGGGGATACAAGCCAAATGTCCAATGTGCAGGTTGGTTATCACACCCAAATCTAAAGGGACTGTATGGTGAGAAAAGCACCTATAAAAAAGCAAATAAAAGCTTTAGTAATCAAAGTTTAGTAATAACTACAATAGTAATAAAAAACAAGGAGGAAAAGTGCTCAATTTTGACTGCTCTTAGTGCCAGAAATTTCAGAAAAAAACCAAACCAACTGGAATCCTGGCTTGTGTTTTATTCCTGCTAGCGACATCCTTCTGCTGTCCAGTTACAGCACTGCATGTGCAATATAAAAACCATGATCTTGAACTCTGCTTTACAGCCATTCTTTGATAACACCTTTCTCCTCTTCTTTTGCAATGTGCTCCAGGACCAAGACAGACATCTGTCCCATGGCACCTTTCTAAGCAATGAAGCACTGTATCTGCACTCCAATTCATTTTGCATTATCCTCTAAAAATTTCTGCCAAGAATCAGCCCTTTCAGATTACACACTATTATTTATTTAATCTCTTTATTTCAGACTATCTGCAGTTTAAGTTCACATACCTGAAATACCCAAACTGAATGCTGTATATGCACAGGGATAATTAGAAGAATTGTGTGTGCTACATGCATTCAATATCTAGAATTAAAATGTAGCCCCTGAACTGTTTTTAATAAAGTAAGTTAAATATCTTTTATATGAAGAAACAATCCCAGAATTTTGCAGATTAAAGCAAAAGTAGGGCTACCTTCAAAATGATCCTCCCCTCTGGGAGAGAAAAGACACTTTCACAATCATTGTACCTCTCAGAGCTCTACCTTTTCAGCACATTTGGTTCAACTGCTTTAGAGAAGCAGATCTCTGGGGATGGATGTTAACGCATTGTTATGTTGCTTTCATCCCTTCAATCACTGAATCACTTATGGTTTAAACCTCTCCAAGTTCAATAAAGAAAATTATCTAATGCAGCTGTTAAAAGTCAGTATTGTTGAAATCCAAATGTTTTGATAACTTGACTATAGTAATGTTCTACCCAAAGAAGTTAGACAGCTTCCTGACCATCTCGCTATGCAGAAGGAGAGGCAGGAGGCTGCAGATTAACATCAATGTCAGCTTCCCTGAGGATCGACCCAGGACATCCTCTGGATGTGAGGGCATGCACCATGCCACCTTGTCCAGAAGCAGGTAGGCTGAAGCAGGTGGTGCTACTAGGATGGAGAGCAGGTACAAGAGCCCCCGTATACCTTTTCTGCAGCAAATATGCCTCATGTAACAAAGAGCTCTATACTGTCTCCCTCAGTTTTTTCTGCTCACAGCAGGCACCCTTTCCCTTCCCTTCCCTTTACTTCTTTCAGAACAGTTCTCTTGGGGGAAAGAGGCATGAATCTCTGCAACAGGGACTGTATCTTCAACCAAGACAAGTATAAATGATTTTGCTTCTTTTCCAGCTTTCTCTTGTCTCTCTACTCCCAGATCCACAGAGCACTGCTTTTGCCCATTTAGTCCTTCATTCACCCCAATAGCTGGTGAGGCGAAGGAAACGGAGCCCACCAAGTCTTGAGCTAATTAAACAAGCCAGAGACGTAGTGCAAAACACAAGGCATCCTCAAGGCTCCTTAAATTCAGGCATCTTATTCAAATGGCAAGTGTACACAGTGAGATGGGGAGGTCTGAGCTTTTGATTACCTTTGAAGAATAAATATCTGAACCAGTTTGATTACTTTTGAAAAACAGAGAAATATTTGGACCAGAACATCAAGAAGCTTATCTTCAGAAGACCCCGGGCATACACAGTTGTATTCCACAGTCCTTCATCCTTGCACCACTCTAATGCCCTTCACAGCTATTTTCACTGTCTCAGCTGCAGATATAGACCACAGAAGGATTTGGCCCAAACAATGTATTCATTCTCACTGACATCAAGATATGTGAAAAGCAGAGACCTATCTTTTTCCTGTATCTCTCAGGATGTGAATGGAGTGAGGAGTCTCACTGCTGTACATCTAGGACCTCAGACAGGGAAATGGGGTCCTTCTGGTCCTGCCTCCCATGGGAGGCAATTTGAATCTCACCCCAAAGGACATACAGTCGCCAGGGAAATTAGTCTCCTTGTGCTGAAAATTGCTGGTTGCTGAAAAAACCCACCCAAAACTCAACAGTCTACTCTTCGCTGACAACAGTGATGGTGTCCAGTCCCAGCTTTATTCCCTTCATTGCCACTCTGAATAACTTTTGTTATTGACACTCAGCCAAATTCAACCCAAGCAGAAACCTCAAAAACCTTTGAGTTTCTGAAGTTTAATGATAGTGGGTGATCAGATAGAGGGGACATGAAGGTTCACAGAGCCATTTGGTTGCCCCTAATAGCTTTAAATCTTGGTAATTGACTTCTACAGACAAACACAGCTGCTTAGTTGTTACTGTCAAAGTAAAAGACCCCAGGTGCCCAGCTGGAAAAGAGGTCCAGAGCAAGGCTAGACAAGGAAGAGGGAGAAACCAGTGGGTATCAGGAATCCTTAATTTCTGCATTTTGTGTAATGACTTCTTGTTTGATTTCTTGCAACCCCAGATTTGGAAGTTTTGTTTGAATAGAAGATTTAGTGTAGTGTGGAATGACTGCCTAATGAGAAACGAAAATTCTGCTAAAATCCATTTTCCTCAGTGGAACAAGTATATGAAAATATTTCAACTGTTCCTGCCTTGTTGTCTCCTTTCATGGTTGAGTCATCCCATTCCTGCTACCCCTCCTTGCCAAAGCCACAAGTGGCTGTGTGGAGCATCCCACTGACACTGATAAGCCTTTCAGGAGAAGGTGCCATCCAGCCTGGGGGTGGGGGGATGAAGGGGGATAGGGGAGAGGAGTGGTGATGTAATTAATCTCAGAACAAACAAAAAGTAATTAAACTTTGCTACCTCATGCCTGACTCTTAACATGGCCTGCTGATAACCACCTTTTAAATTTGACACAAACAGACTGGCGCTGGGCTCCACAACTGGGGCCAAATGGCCAGTGCACTGGAGGGCTGTGCACTGTGTTTGCCCTTCCTGAAGCCACACAGACTTCTCCTGGGGCAGTGCTTCAGCTCCTCCACATTGTTTACTCAGAGCAAAACCTACCAGATAAAACATCAAGCCCCAGGGCAAGCAGTCCTTGTTATCAGAGCCTGCTTTCATTTTCCATCACGCTCACGCTAACAACTTGCAGGGCTCAGACCCTCAGGTTCAGCATTCCTCCAGGTAAAGGGGGGAAAAAACCCTCAGAAGTATGGGCATAGTCCCCTTCATGTACAAGGAATACAGTTTTAGGACAAAATGTGGCTAAATCTGGAATTGAATGGATTTGAGATCTCTATTGTCTCTTTCAGTGCTGCAGCACAGCAACCTGCCCAGTGCCAGATGAGGTGGCTGCACACAGGAGTGTACCTGAGAGCCTGCATCTCTCACTCCATATGGGCACATCCACTCTCATCTCGGGAGACCTCTGTGCAGACTTCAGCAAGGGGCTCTGCTGAACAATAAGTGGCCTTTATCTTTGCTAGTCAATGGGATTATTAGTTCTTAACTAACGAAGCTGTGACCCAGTAAGTGGAGTCCTGATTAATACGAAAACACTTTCCTATTGTAAAATTCAGTTGACATACTGGCTTCAAAGTATTTTATAAAAACAAAGGATATAGTACATATCAAACCCAAAAATGTCAAGCAGATTTCATTTTAACTTAGAAATCCTGACACAATATAAAGCTAGGACAGAATTTTGTACACTTGGCTCAAAAGGAATCTCTCTTAATGCATCATTTTGCTTCAGATTTTTTTTGTCTCCAAAAAAGGCAGATTGTAGTACCCATTACATACTGTGAACTTAAATGCAAGGGAATTTTAGGCACAAATGTGCTATCACAGTAACTATCACTGTAACTCTGCTTCCAGACTCCAGTGGCTCAGCGTACTTTACCAAGAAAAGTAAGAAAACAACCTTCTCCTTTGATTCTGTTTCCCCTCACTGATATAACAAAGATCTCTATCCTTGTGACATTCATTATTTTATCAATGCAGGCTGCATGCACACCCTCCCTTGACAAAGAGACCATGGCATTATCCTATCTGTGTTTGTGTGCCTTATATTTACATATAGTCACTGTTTGCAAAACAGTCTGCAATAACTTAGGCAAAGATACAACACTATTGCAAAGGGAGTCACATTGAACCACGCTGAGCTATGTAAGCATAAGGGGGCAGGGTTGCACCTGAAATGCCAAAAAAGAACAAGCAAGGATAACATGGACTATGAAAGGAGACTTTCTGCTGGTGCTAGATGGAGTGATCTTTCAAGAAGTGCCTCTCAGATGTCCTAGCTTTAGAGGACAACGTTGAGCTCAAATCCAGAGCCAGAGTAATTCCAGTGACAGGGATGGTGGCAGCAGTGGTGAAGGCTGGTCTTAAGCATCTCACCAGATGCTGAAGGCATCAAAGCAAAAACAAATGTGCCGGGACATTTCAAGGAAATTAAAGAAATTATGGACAAGGTGCCTACATGAAACTACAAGTAAGTGCAAGGTGGAGCTTGGGGAAACAAAAAGATGATGGCTTGAGGGAGAAAGATGCTGAGAGTACAGGCTGATCAAAGCCCAGGAGGTATGTCTTCGTAAAGCTGGAGAGGTGGTACATCATGTATGGAGACACCTGAAAGTGAAGCCTGAGACTGACACGTCCAATGTAGGGGAGAAGGGGGAGCAGCAGAAGGACTGACAAAGAAGGGAGATGCAGATGAAGTGGCAGGCTAAGAGGTGGGTTTTGCAGCAGCGCCATGGATCGACTGTGTCATAACAGGATTTCCTCTGCGCAAGCCAGGAAAAGGAGGTAACCGGAGTCATGAAGACACAGGGGGAGGAGTGCTTGCAAAAGAGTGCAGGAGGTAGAGGTGAAAATATATTGACTTTTTAGTAATGGACTTTTAAAATTCCAAGTCTCAAACCTATCAGAAACATCACATTTTTCAGCAACTTCTGAATACACTCTGTCGTTAAGATAATTCCTCTTCTTCTTCTGCATAGATAGGGTGCCAGGGGGAAAAACTGCATTGCTTCCTGGCTCTGATGAGGAATTTACAGAATAAGCTTATAATTTCCACTGCACCACTAAGACCCAACTATGAACAAAGACACTTGCCAGACACGAGCTATCCCGAGTTCAGCCTTTTACATCTGAATAGGTTAACAAAATGCAAACGGCAATAACTTCATATACATACAGTCATCTACATGGTGATAGTACCAGATTAGACTTTGATGCTGAAATAGCCCAGGACCCCTTCCCCACCAGTTCATGGTCCTACAGCATTTATCCTCTTGACAGCAAAGCACACTTACTAGATATAGCAAGTAGCAGTCAGCAGGCAGGCAAGCCTGTTCACCAGAGCAGAGGAAAGCTGGGGAAACATGAGGGAGGCAGGGGTGAGATGCCTGCCTTTCCTTCCCCCACCTCGGGTGACATGAATGACCAAGTCTGAGAAAGAAGTGGGGAACGAAGGCAGCCAGTATACAGCTACAACCAGCAACAATCTCTAAAGAGAAAAAGCCCTTCTAGGCATTATAGAGAGAAAGCAGCTGGTGGTTTCAGGTTGCCTTTCGTTTTGGTCTGTTCAGGCACAGAAAAGTCATAGTGGGTTCAAAATGACTGTAAAAAGCAAAATCACAAGGAAACAGACATCAACCCTCCGTCTGGATCCCTTATCAGAATAAAACTGCCAGCATGATATACATCCTGTAGGGTCCAGATTTTATACGTCTCCACCTTTCTCCCATTCTACTATAATTAACTAAGAATTAAATTTAATAATAGTCAATATGCATTCCTAACTGTCGTTGCTTATATAAATGTTAATCAACATGGCAAATGCTCAGCCTTTTACCACTATTTTCACAATTTTCCTCTAACTGCTTAGCATTTGCAAGCGTAGGAAGAGTTTGTTCTGTTCCAAACTTTATTACCTCTACCAAAATGATGTTGTAACAGCCTGCAGCTTTTAGCTAGACATAAAGTGTTTGTGCACCCATCCTGTTTTCTTTTTTCTACTGCTGTGCTGTCTAAGCTCAGCTCTTCTCTCGGTACGTTAGATAGGCATGTTACAATTTATTTGCAGAGGGAGCAATTCTTTTCCCGCCATCTTCCTGCAAACAATGTGAAAGAGCACACTCATGGCAATCTGTGATGGGCAATCTATGCCCACAGAGCCAAGAATGTGCTTTCATAGTGATGACCCAATGCTCTGCACTATCACACCCCTGGTCTGCAGTAGCTTTCAGCGATGGAAACCAGCCTGTGCCTCCCTTCTCTCCGCATCCCTCCTTCCAGAACCAGCACAACCCCGATGCTGTCTCCACGCTCTCCTAGAACGTTCCCCTTTCTGCCTCCAACAAAAGCAATTTCTCCGAACCGAAGAAGCGTTCATTCAATTCAAACACTTTGACAAACCACGAAGTCAGTTAGGCTAAAAACAGGTTCTTTACAAAACACAGGCCTAACACGTACCTCAGTTAAACGCTTCTGAAAATCAAATGCCCTTGGTTACGGCACAGGACAGGCAAACCGCTGAGAAGGCTCTCTCGGAGCAGCAGCACCGGCGAGGCACGGCGGGCGCTGCTCCTGAGCTTACGGCGGCTTCCCAAACCCGCCGGGACCCGCCTCAGCCGGTGCCGGACAGCGGGAGGAGCAGCCCCGGCGCTGCGGGACGTGCGAGCAACAGCGCCCGGCCGCCGGGCAGCCCTGCCGGCCGAGGGCAGGAACAACGCGCACGGGGTACTAGGGCAGGGGGGAAAAAAAGCACCCCAAACCCGGAGTGCCCACCTCCCTTGGAAAATGAAGGCGGCTGACCCCGCCGGGATGCTCCGGCTCAGGCGCAACCGGCAGCGCGGCACCTTCCTGCCCGCAGCCGCCCCGCTGGGGCCGGGGCAGCTCCGCTCACCGCTCTCCGCTCACCACGCCCGGCTCCCACTGCGGCTCCTCCTGCCCGGCTCGGGCTCCGGTTCCGGCCCCGGCTCCCGCTGCCGTCTGTCCCGCGCGGCCGCGGAGGCAGCACCGCCCCCGGCCCGGCCCCCGCCCGGCCCCGCCGCCCTCTGTCCGGTGCCTCTCACTGCTGCGGGGCCGCGGAGGAGGAGAGCAGCCGCTGCCGCATCGCCCCGTACGGGCGGTCTGTGATGTGGCGGGGGCTAAGGGCTGGGGACTGGGGGTCGTCCCGCCCGCCCAGCGCGCCCTCTGTGTGCGAGCCTGGGAGAGGCGCTGCGCTCACGTGGAAGGGGAGGTGAACCCCCCCCCCGCCTCACTGGCGTTGGAGGGTGGAAGTCACCGGCCATCGCACAAACCCGCCCCAACACCTGGCTCTTACCATCCCACGGCTGTCCTACAGCATACATCCCCGGGGCTGATCCTTTTCCAAAGAGACCATGTGAAGTTCGTATCCCACAGGGCAGAGCGACCCGTGGGAAACGCGTGCTCCTTCGGGGCAAACCGTCTGCATAGGGTCAGATAGTGGCAGCACAACCGGGAGCTGGGCACAGCGAGGGAGTGGGTTAGAAAAGCGGCTCCCTGGGAAGTGGAAACTTGCAGGCGTCTTTCTAAAACTCTTCCAAGTTTTCAAGGTCTCTCAGGGATACTCTGATATCATGTACCTGGCAGTGAGTTAATAGTTGTGCCAAGACCAACTGAGATAGTGACTATAAGGTAGTGTAAATAACAATAAAATCTGGCTTCCCTAGTTTATTTGGATCATGACTTACCTACAGATATCACATGCTCTGGAATCAAATAGTGAGAAAATGCTGGCTGGATCAGGAGCATTTTCTTCTGTGGACACTGTGGAAGGAAAGGCTCAGCTGGCTTCTGGTATACTTGTCTCATCCACTATGATTTTTTTGGCCAAATGACTTTACTGTGGGTTAGAAATCAGTGATGAGCACTGTGAAGAGCAGATGGGGAGTTTAATGCACCCTCTGCAGCTCAGTCTTGTATCTGGCTAATGTCCATGTGAACTTCTGAAAGGATGTTGGGAAAGGTTGTTCTTCATTTTAAATTGCTCTTAGGGAGCTGTGCAGTTCTTAACGTGCTGTGGAGGCACTTCTGTGAATTGTGCTTTCTTTGATACAGTCTACACAGTTTCAGTAGAAGAGTAACTTGGAATATTATGGTACAGTCACTTTTGGAAGAACAAGACATATGAAGAAGTATAAAACTTAAAGGGAAAATCATTCCCAAGACTGAACCATATTTCTCTTTGATAAAACCGGTGAGTGCAGTGGCATAAAAAAGAGATGAGGTTGGCTTTGAAGTGGCAAAAATGCCCTTTCTGTTTCACCTCTGAAAAAGGAAGTAAATGTTTTTGTGGATTTGGGGGTGTTTTTTTATTTAGGTATGGCTTTTCAGGGTGGAAAGTCATGTGCATGGTATATGAACACAAAAAGAATAGCCTATCAGTTAATGCTATGATATCCCTAACTTGGAAGCAGACCACTGCCTCACTTCAACTTGCAGCCACTGCAGAAAAGGGCACATTTGACAGTGAACTTGCTGATTGCATGATCTTTTGTGGAAATAAGACACAAAGCCTGTTGAAACTGTAGGGAAAGAAAAATTGTAGGCACCTACTACACTACTGGCAATGATTAGATTAGTTGTGAAGAACCCTGCTGAAACCATTTTAAAAAATACCAAGAATTTGCTATATCTTTTCTTATTTGTGTACTCAGACTAGAGGACTCTTTGGTACAAGCCCCGTGTCTGGGATGTCGCTGGATATAAACAGAGACAGATGGTGCGTTAAAGTTCTCAACATCGATTTTGCAGATAGGAGCCCAGGTACAAAACTCTAAGGAGATAGGAGCAGCAAAAGTGGTAAAGCAAAATGATTCGATCTTGAAAAAAGAAAGAAGCCAAGAGAAATGCTTCTGTTATAGCTTAGTTGTTCTAGCAGTGGAACTGCAAGCTGGGACATACAGCAAGAGTTTCCCCAAGGTCAAGCAAGAGGAAGACAAGGAAAGGTAGATGCAACAGAGCTGAAGTGACTGCTAAGCCAGGCATGCTGTTGCTAGCACTGGCCACAAAAATCAGTATTTTCTAAAGAAAATTAATTATGATCCCTTGGACTTTTATCACTTTACTGGATTTTAGTTCAAAGCCTAATCCTCTGAGGAATAAGGAAATTCCTAAGTGCTTCCTACTGACGACCATGCTTATCCCACATCATCAGCCATAGTCACTAGTAATCCTTGCCTCTAGAAGAAACTCAGAAGTCAGATCTAGATCTATCCAGTAAGTCTCACAATCTCAACCTACATAATGTAGGTTAGGTCATATCATCCTATCTTGTACAGCTACAAAAAAATACCAGTACTTAGGCAATGAGTGGGAATTCATTTTTGCAGCTGTGCTCTGATTTTTCACTCTTTTCCTGAATAAAGCAGCTCTCAAGGGGAGGTGAACAGCACTGCTAGAAGAGAGTACGATTTGTTCAGCAAAGGAGAACAGGGTAGAAAGGCTTTTGTGCTTCTTGGAGGTCACTGGTATTTCTTTAAGTGTTTTAGATTGGGTCACATCACTGATGTCCTGCTGCTCTTTGTGGCTTGTCCTTTTGCTGTGAGCTGCTCAGTGGCACTGCATAAAGCTGCACCAGAGGAGCTGTCAGCAAGATCAGGCCTCTCAGTCAACTCTGGAGGCTGTGTCAGCACCTCATGCAGAGGCCATGGTAGTGGGAAGTGCTGCAGCTCCAAAGTAATTAAGTTGCTCTTTTATTGCTCTTCCTCCTTCTGGCTTTTTGTGCAAACAGCACAGTGTGAGCTGGCCCTTCCTCAGGACAGTGTCTTTCATGCAAATATGTCTCAAAATGTTTTGCAATTATAAAATATACCAATAGAGCATTAAACAGAGAAATGGGAAGACAGTTTCAGAGAAGGTTAGGAAAAGAGAAGACAGTACAGCAAAGCAGAAAAAAATATATGGAGTCTTCAGATGGTGAGAATACAAAAAAAAAAGATAATTACAAAGCCACTTTTTTTTTCTTTTCTTTTCTTTTTTTTTTTTTTAAATACAGTTGCAGCCAGATAAGTACTGACTTTGCCTTGGAGTCAGAGCATGAGGTTGAAGGTCAGGAGAGTGCACTGGGTGGGTATGGTTGACTCTGTGGTTCTGGCCTGGAAAGGGCACATCAAGGAGACATGGCTTGACTGTTGCTCAGTGAGATTAGGCCTCCAGAGCTCAGTGTCATTCTTGCTGCTACTAGATTGCCTACAAGACAGCATGGCTATAGTGAATTTAATAGCTTTTCTGCCTTAGAATGCAGAAAAGTATGGGAAATTCCATATTACTGCTATTATTATTACTGCTTTGTTGGTTCTGGATATGATTTCCTCTACCAGCTCAGAGTCATTAGGTGGTGGAGTAAGCAAACACTTTCTTAATTCCTCCATGTGGCAGGAATGTCTGCCAACAGTGTTGCTATATCCATGCTGTCTGCTTGGCTTCACTGTCTTTTCTGCTTTAGTATTCCATCCAGGTGTAATACAGCTTGGAGAACTTCAAGAATTCCAGCCTTCTGCTGGCTATTATGATGTGAAATGCTGAACATTTTATGTTGTCATGAAATCAGTCACCAAAGAAATGTTTTATCCAAATTCCTCCCTTTATCTTTGTGGTTAGAATTTGTACCTGACAACTTTTTGTCCTTACAAAGACACAGTAATTTATTTATTGAAGTGCATGTTTGGATGCTGGTCAGCCAAATTGCGCATCTAACAGAGCCATATTTTAAAACTGAAGATGAGTTTTTCTGAAATGCTTAAATTCACTTTATTGTGAATGGAAAGTATTAGGTGATCATGAAAACCTCCAGAGAAAGTTCTTACTCATTGAAGTTTGAGTACAGGAGTTAGGTGTGCATGACCTTTTCTGGTGCTTTAAAGCCATTTATCTTCCTCCTTTTGACTATCTATGGAACTTATGGACTTCCTCAGAAAGGGCTGCTTCGCTACACTATTAAGATATAGAAACATAGCAGTTAAATGAACTAAATTCTGCCCAAGAAAATCAGATCCTCATCTGTCCAGCTGAGATATGCACTTTAAACATTTACATATAGAGAATGCAGTTCTCCCGAGAGCCAGGATAAAAATAAACCTCTCTGCTATTTGGAAAGATAGTCTTTCCCCCAGAATGCTGGCTCTCCCCTTGTTCTTCACAGAGCTCACAGGGGAAGGCAGTGAGTAGTGATGCCTTCCTGAACCTGATCATGTCCTCTTAGTTTCTGGATTTGTACTCAGCTTGTAGCACTGCCTTAAGCACCTATTTTGTCTCGTATTTTTTTGTGAACATGGTGGCCGAAAGTTAATGAGTTTTCAGGGCAACATTTTCTGATACTGAAAAGATTTCAGCACTATAATTTACCTAAACATTAGTATTTAATAATGGCTAACACTGCAAATAGGAAAAGTCTTAAAAGACTTATTGAGCCAATATTTAACTTCTAATTCCTCTATTGCATAAAAGATACTTGTTAATGCAAAGACTGCCTAAATAAATTCTAAAGCTCAATTAACTCCATCGTTAGATGTTTTTAAAATACTGTTATACCATTATTAGACCTACAATTCTCCAGATACCTCTGGTCTTTTTAATTACCTGCAGTCATTATAAAGAGCAGTCACTGCAAAGTTCATTCATTTTTTCCATGCTTCCTACTAATCCACTTAGGAAATTTGCCATCAAGCAACCTTAGGAGAGGTTGTCTTTAATGAGACCCCTATGGAATAATGGGCTATTCATTTTCCTAAATGTCACTGGTATCATATTAACATATTCACATGTTAATAAAAGGACAAGTGCCTCATATGCTGCTTATTCTTGATGTAAAACCTTGGCATGGGTCAAATCTGTGTGTTAATAATTAACATTTTTCATAGAATCTTTTTAATGTTTATTAGTTGGTTCTTTGTTTAGGACATATCTCCAGTGAGGTACATTAAGTACACAGATAGTGTCCAAGGTCAGATGGTGATGTCTTC